AAAAGTAAATTTGGAATGGGTATGACTGACTCCCGGGACCCAAAACAATATTATTTGAGCTCTTTCTTTCCGTCTCTTGGCTCTGCTTCTTCTTGGTTTCATTGTTCAGACAATATTTTCTTTCAATTAAGATATAATAGACCTACAACATTATGTTAGTTTCAGGTGTACAACATAATGACTTCATATTTATATATGTTGCATAATGATCACCACAATAAGTCTCATTAACATCCACTACCACACATAATTACAAATTTTTTTTCTTGGGGTGAGAATTAAGATCTACTGTCTTAGCAACTTTCACATATATTGTACAATACAGTATTGTCAAGTATAGTCACCATACTGTACATTACAGGGACAAGCTTTCTCCATGTAATTGGTAAGAAGATGCTTTCCTATCAAACTCAACAGTGCTGATAAAAAGAGCTCACCTTATAGGAAAGTCTCAGGGAAGATTCTGATTGGCTCAGAGTGAGTCTAGTGACCATTTCTGAACCAGTCCCTATGTTGGGGAGTGCAGTGATAGGCTAGGCCTAGCCTGGGTCTTGTGCCTACCCCTGTGGTAGTGATCAAGATGTTTGTTGGTCAGACAGGAGACAGTGATTGACAGCCCTGCCAGGAGCATGTGAGTGGACAAGATTCTCCCTATTTCAGGTAAAACCTGCTTTGTCACCTCTTTGGTCCATCTCGGTCCCAAGTGTTGCATTGGCCAAGAATGTGTGTATGAGGAGCTGGGGGGGCAGGATGCTTGAGGTCAGGACGGCTCATCATTCATGTACTCATTAGCCATTGTTTTTGAGTCCCACGATCACTCAGACTCCGTTCTGGTCTTTGGGCCCAGCATTCAACAAAACAGACAATCCATGTCCTGGTGAAGCTTATACTCTTAAGGGAAGAAACAGTCAAAAAGATAAATAAGTCAAATACACACAGAATGGCACACAGTGCTCTATAAGGAAAAATAAAGCAGGGCAGGGGGATAGGGAATTACGGGTGGGGTTGGGGGCCAGTTTTACAGATGGTGGTGGGGAAGGCTCACAGAGGAGGCCACATTTGAGCAGCGCCCTGCAGGGGTGAAGGAGGGAGCCATGCAGTCATCTGGGAGAAGAACCTCCCAGAAAGAAGGCAGGGGGAACAAAAGGGCTGAGGGGAAGGGTGCCAGCCGGCTCAAGGAACGTAAGGAGGTGAGTGTGACTGGAACAGAACCAGGGAGGGAACACTGGTACAAGCTGAGTCCAGTCAGGTGACAGGGTATGTACCCACAGAGTCTCCTGTGCCACTGTGAGCTTAGGGGCTTGTACCCTGAGGGACGGTGAAAGCCATGGAACATCAGGTGAAGTGGCAGAGGCTCCCGTTTGTTTGCTGTTTTCTCCTCAATGCATCATCAGTAACCTGAGAGCCAGAGACAGTATTTAGGTATTCATTCATTTACTCGCTCATTCATTCATTCCTTTATTCAGCAAACCCCTCCTCAACACCTACTGTAACGCCAGGTGCTGGGAGCTCAAAAATTAGGAGCCTCTTTCTTTTCCACCATCTAGTGGAAAAGAAAGAAAAGTAAATACAGATATCAGCACCATGTGGTATAGAAACTCCACAACCTCAAGTGCCCTCACCACCTGCAGAATGGGCGGTAGTGCAAGCCCCCTCAGTGGCTGCAAGCCCAGGATATTGGGCCTCTCAGGCTGATCGAGATATAGCTCCTCCTGGTCCCACAGCCTGAAGCCAAAGGATGCATCTAGCCCTCCTGTGCTCACGTGCTAAGTAAGCATCGTGGGTGAGAAAAGAGGGTAGCAGCAACACACTTCCCCTTCAGGATGGGGAGAAGAGGACCAGCACTCATGGGTACCCGGTCCATGGTGCCTGTGCCGTTTCCAGACTCCTGCCCCAGCTGGGGTTGAGGTGGAGGGAGCGTCCATGGCTGGTCCTCCAGCTACCTGTTCTCTAAGGTTGGGGGTGGGGTGGGGGTTTCTTCACGATCCTCCATGACCTGCCTTGGGGGAGGAAAGGGACCAGATTCTAGATTCCTCTTCTGAGGGCCATACTGGTTTGTGTTTATCTCTGTCTTCATAGCCTTTTACACAGTGTCTATACTTACTGGACTTCCAGTCCAGTTGATACAGACACTTTCAGTCCATTATTTGTTTATACTAGTGGGATGCCCATAGGATACCACTTGTGGATACCTGGGGCAGGGATCTAAATCACACCGAGGAGCATGGGGAGGGCATCAGAGACCCCTGGGTCGGTGGCTTGGAGGACCCAGAGATGGAACTGCCCATGTCTGCAATGGGCAGTGCAGGAGCAGCTGCTTTGAAGATCAGTGAGGAATTGATATTGAGGTGTTGAGTTAGAGGTACCCATGGGACACCCAAAGGCCCAAGTGTCCAGATCAAAGAACAGGGGCAAAGGGAAAGGAGAGTTGGAGAGCTGTAAGGAAATGAGTTGCAGTATGGGCGTGGGAACTGGGGCTAGATATCCCAGGGAGAAGAGCATTGGGTGGTGCCTGGTATGAGGCCAGGAAGACGCTGGATGGACAGGAAGTAACAGCCCTGAGGAGGTCACATCCTGCCCTTCCAGTGTTCTGTCTACTTAGCTGACGCAGGGCCAAGCCATGTCCCAGCTCCAAACCCCAGGGACTGCTGGGCCGATGTGAATGCAGAGCTGAGACCTCTGGGAGGAGGCGAGCCTAGTGTTCCCATGGCACCCTTCTTCGAAAGTTGGTTCCCTGGCGGCGAAGGGTCTAGCCTTGGAGGAGGGTTGGACCATCATGGACTATGGGTCTGGGGGTGGGAGTAGCAGATGTTTCCTGACAGCATCTTTGGGATGTCTGGCTCAGTTCAGAGGCCCTGCAAGGAACTTCTGTAGAGAGCATTGGCTGGAGTAGATGCTCTTCCACAACATTCTCTGTGGTTCTGAGGAAGCTTTGAAAGAAGGCAGCAGGCTGGGCATCAGGGAACAGTCTCAGAAGTCTTCCTTCCCCTTCCTGACACATGAATGGTGCTCAGCAGAGCTTTGTTGAATAAATGGGTGGATGCATGAATGAGTGAGTGAGTTCAAGCATTTGTAAGCAAATGAATGAATGCTCCAGTGCATTGGAACTCACAGAAGCTTGCCCCAGTGCCTGGTCGATGGGTGTTCTCTGTCAGTGTTTATTGGGTGATGGTAAGTGCGAGATCACAGAGTGATCTTAAACCCTAACTAAATAAATGTTATTTCCCACAGTCAAAGGATAATCAAGCGGCATACTCTCCCTTTGGGAGCTTCTGCAGTTTTTCTTTTCTTTTATCTCCTCAGCCATCAGCTGGCAGCTGCTCAACATCTCCCTAACCCTGGGCTGGAAGTACGAGAGGAAGAGTTAACACCCATTCTTTTCCTGGATAGGAAGGGCACAAAAGATCTTTCATTCTCACTCTCAAAGCTAGACAGCGTAGGTCCTCCCAGCTATCCAGGGTTCACGCCAGAACGTTCTCCTGCCCTCCTTCCCTCCCTCCTTCAGTCTTTCCTGAAATGGAGTTTGAGCCCATGGGAGCTCTGCTACATCGGTCCAGCCCTTGGCACGGCACCAACTCAGAACACCCCAGTGCAGCCGCTGTAGCTGTTGCCGCCCCGCCGAGCACAGAGGCCCTGAGCATCTGCGTCTACCACGGGGCTGGCCGGGCCACACGAGGAAATCTCCCTCACTGCTTTGGACCTTGGGAGTCAGGGACTGGGTCCTAGGACAGGGCGACACTGGGAGGCAGGAACACTACAGAATGGCACCCTTTAAGGAGACTGGCACTCCCAGGAGCCATCTGCATTCCTGTCTGGTGAGGTTGGGAGCTGCGCTCTCCAGGGACCATGGAGGCTCTGGGCTGTGGGATGTTCCCTGCCTCATTTGACACATTGGTTTCTTGTCCCTCGGGCCCTGCCACCTTCCTGGGACCACCTCTGTGGGGACCAGCCCCGTAGGGACCAGCCCTGTGACAGAGTCCTCCTGCAGGGGTTCTGTACATGGACAGTTCTCACCCATCTTCCTGCCACCTCTGTGTGCCCATGGCTCTGGCCCAGACTGCTGGTCACGGGGAAGGGTTGGAGTTGGGAGGCATTCGCAGCTGATGACATTTCAAGGCATTCTGGGCAACGTCTGGCCAATAGTTTGGTTCAAATAATGAGATGTCAGGATCCATCCATTCATCTCAGATGTGTTCTTCCCTGGTGTCTTTCATGATGGGACTTGGGGAGCACAGAGTAGGGTGTGGCTAAGAGGGGGGAGGCTGGGCCATGGCATCTGCCATCCATCACTCCCCAGCACTTAGCGCAAGTGGACCCAGTAGGGCTGACATGAGGCTATTTCAGCAGCAAGCACAAGTCACCGAGAAGATGCATCATTGTCTGCGCACTTGACTTTTAGCACTTCTGACAAGCCTGTGAGAACCTGCTTGTCCTCACAGGTAGTTCTCTGCATAGCAGCTTGTCTAAGCCCTGGGTGTTTTACTGATCATACCTAGCCCAGTAGCAGGCCCAAGTTCACTGCTAAGAGACTGTCAATCTTGTGGTAGCATGGCAACTTCAACCTTCTTGGACACTGCATCTTGGGGTCTGGTGTGCTGTAGAGTCACTCTCTCCATGGCTAGCACACAGAAGTGGTCAAGGGTTTGGATTTCAGAGTTAAAACAACCAGTTTGAATCTAGAAACCTGTGACTTAGTAGCTCTGACCTTGGTCTTTTTCAAAAAATAGGTTTTACTTTTTTTTTTTAGAGCAGTTTTAGGTTTACAAAATTGAGCAGAAAGTACAAAGAGTTCCCATTCCCTGCCCTGCACAAGCAGATACTGTTTTTGACTTCTTGAGCCTCAGTCTCCTCATCTGTACAGTGGGGGAAACAATGACATGTTCACAGAGTCAGCGTCGGGGTCAGATGAGGCCTTGCGGTTGGCTCCCGTCTGGTAGTAGGTGCTCACCAGACAGTGGCCACTTCATCCTGGGCCCCTCTGATGCTGACCTTTGTCTCAGGTGACAGGAACACCCTCCAGAGGCTTTGATGAGAAGGCCTACTTGGCGGCCAAGCAGCTGAAGGCCGGAGAGGACCCCTACAGGCAGCACGCCTTCAACCAGCTGGAGAGCGACAAACTGAGCTCTGACCGGCCCATCCGGGACACCCGCCACTACAGGTGCGGCCTCCATTGTGCCGATGGAGAAGGAATGGGGGAGGGAAGGGCCAACCCCAGTGAGCGTGGTGTTTTTTTCAGTCAAATGGATTTCAGAAATGAGGATGATTTCCTCAGGCTCAGTCTGCCAAAGAGACACTCACACCCTCACCTTCGGTTGTTTACTTGACTCCTGTTTATTTCACTTGACCAAAGAGAACTTCCCATCTGGGACCAGGGAGGCCCCTTAGCACGTCAGTCTGTAGTCCCAGGGAGAACGACTTGCCAGGGGACCTCAGGGAGCTCGGAGCAGGTGGGCGAGCCTGGTGTTCTTGGTGCCCGGCTGATGGTGCCTGACGTGAAGAGGGGCCACCAGCCCTGCCCAAACTGTGCAGACTGAGAAGTGCTATGCCCACCCCATTAATACCCCTTCCCTTCCTCTCTTCCCACCCCCTGCCCTCACTTCCTTGAAACTCGCAGAAATGCTTCTCAGTCTCGTCCTTAGTTCTCGCAGGGCGGGAGCTGGGAGAGGCTGAGGAGCAGGACCAGGGGCACCTTCCACGCTAATCCCAGCTCTGGCTCCACGCAGCGTGAATGCCCGACCTGGGGCAGGTCATCGGCCCCCTCCTGGGTTCAGGTCCTTGTCGTGTCCTGTCTAAAGTACAGGAGTTGCCACCTTCAGTGTCTTCTCCCTGCCCTTGCCTCCAGAACAACCTGAACTTACCCTGAAGTGGGAGCCTCCCCTCCTCCCTTGAAAGCCTCTGCTCTTCTTCACCAGCACTTAGTGCTCCCCAGTCCTACACCTCTCCAGCTTCCCTCCTTGTCTTTACGCACTGTTTCCTCTCCTGAACCCCCTCCACACACACCTTCACAGCTCCCCTCAGTGGCTTCTCCTCCAGGAACGGTCCTTCGCCAACCAGGGCTGGTTAGGGGGCTTCCTCTGCTCTCCGTGCAGACACCTAATGGAACAGCAAGGGGCCTCCCACGTGCCAGCAGCTTTGGATGGGCAGCCTGGGCGGTGTTGGGCGCAGCTTATGCTCCCAGAGCCGTGCTGGTCCTGGTTTGAGGGTAGGCGAGGGGGACTCAGGCCCATTGTGGACTCAGCTGCTCCACAGAACAAAAGACATTTGTGAGATGAGGGTTCAGAAGGGGACCTGCTTTTAGCGCCTTGCCTGTCACTCATGGAGGTGTGCCTGGAGTCCGGTGGCCTTGGTGGCCTGTGCAAGATGAGAAGGGCGCAGAGGTGGGGGAGCCCCAGCCCATCCTTTCTGTCCTCAACACCAGCACTGTCAGCCTTCAGAAACAATTCCTGCTCCCCAACAGGGCAATAATCCTGTTCCTCAGGTCTAATGGCTAGTTCAGGCCCTGGGAATTCTTTCTCGCTTGTCCCCGAGCAGTCTCGCTTCCTGTCTGCCTGTGCAGCAGGGTCTGCAAGCTTGTGTTCACACAGATGCACTTGGAGACCTTTTATGGGCAGTCCTGACCGTGGCCAACCTAGACCCCAGGGCCTGGAGGGGCCGCGGGCCCACGTCTGTGAGTTGAGAGGATAGCCTAGGTCCCCTCTGCCTCCTCCCACCCCTCCTCACTCTGAGCCTTCTCCGGCGTTCACTGAGGAAATTAAAGGGGGAATTCCTTTTGGGAATCCATACATTTTAAAATGAGACTCCTCAAACCCAAGGCAGTGGTGGGTTGGTGAGTTAGGCCTCTTCTCCTGCCCCACAGCTGCTGTACAGCCCTTTCAGAAGCCGGAGTGGGTCCGGGTCTGTGTGTGCATCTGTGTACGTCCGTGTGTGGGCACGCATGTGTGTAGGGTGAGCAAAGGAGGTCTGGCTTGGGTGGCAGGACCTCCCGTGATGTAGCCAAGTGTGCTGGCCTGAGCCACCCTCTTGCCCTTGGCCCTCCAGGCTGCTGCTTCTGCTGGACTCCAGGCTAGTTCTCATTTCAGCCCTCAGTCTAGGGAGCTCCCCCACGATGGGGAGGAGAGACCTAAACCACGTAAAACAGACCTACCAGCTCCATTGCCCCAAACTCAAACACAAGCTTGGGACAAACCTCTTCAGAGGCTCTTGGCTCCTGGAAGCTGTCGGACAAATCCCCTTTACCACAGATACAAATCCCAGAGCAGGGCCCAGTGAAGCAAGTTGGAGGGGGCAGGTGAGAGAGGTTGAGTCTACCCTGCAGATGGGGTCTGGCCCCATCAGGTAGAGGATGAGCATCTCAATCCAGATTCCCTCCCTGGGCACCGGATGGTCGGAGTCCAAGGACAGAGACCTGGGGGCCCTAGAGGTCCATATCGGGGGTGCTGGGTGCCGAGAGGGTGGCTGCTTCTCCCAGCACTCCACGTCTGATCAGACCAAGCCCACCCTCCTGACTCCACCCACAAATCAGTCTGGCTCTGGGAGGATGGGTACTTGGGAAGCCTGGAAGAAGTGAATTTCCGTGCCCCCAGCCCCTCTCGAGGACAATTATTCTGAAGCCCCCTTAGGATCTCTCCCATGGGGAGAGATCTCTCCCATGGCTGTACCATTCCACTGGTACAGCCCTCCTGCCTGGCTGACCCAGTGTGCTACGCAGGGCAAGAAGTGGGCCTGGGAATTTGGCTGTAAGCTGCTGTCAGTGGAATGAATGCTGTAATGAAAAAATCGTCACTGCTGGGATAGTCAGAGAGCAATTGTAATAAAGGAGATTGCCATGAGAACCAGCACGGCGGCTGCCTGCCCGCCCGCCCGCCAGCCCGCCCCAGGAGTGTGAATAACGCCTTCGCAGAAAGACGGATGAAGGCTGGCCCTGAGTGGAGTGTTTTCCTTCCCTTTCCTGAGGCAGCGGGGGTGGGGGTGGGGGGAGCCAAGTGTGTTTAGTGTCTGGAGGTGGTAAGCACAGAGCTGCTGGGAAGAGAGGGGGCTGGCGGGAACTGCCTCTGCTGTCTTCTCAGAGGCTAGTGTCCCCCACGAGCTCCTGAGAGGCCACTCTCCTGTCACCAGCCAGCTGTTAGTGTGGGCAGGAGAGGGAGGAATTCACAGGTCCCAGCATTGGGGGGGGGGGGGGGTGACTCCTCTCCAGATCCCACCAGGTGTCTTGGGGTGGGGGTGGGGGCCGAGAAGGAAGAGCTGCAGGGTGTCAGAGACAAAACAGAGGCTGTGCCCCCCACTCCACCCCATTTTGTTGCTCAGCTGCTCCATCCAGCAGGCAGCTCTGCCTGCGGGTTCTGTGGTGCCCGCATGTGCTCTGAGCCCTCTGAAACACCTCAGGGACTGTGGGGACCCCAGCGCTCGAGGTCTTTGGCGGACAGATTCTTGGCCTGGGAAGGTCCGCCAAACGGTGGTGTTCCTCCAGGGACTCCCGGCTGGGGGGCCTGAGTGGGTGGAGCGTGGGTGTGGAGGAGCAAAGCCCACACCCTGGCTTCAGGCTTTGTTTCTGCCCCACAGAGGTGTTCTGGGGGCAGCAGGCCGGACAGAGAGAAGCCTCAAAGCCTGCCCTGAGGACACTCCCACAGCTGCCCTCTGACCTCTCTGCTCCCTTCTCAGTTGTCCATCCCTGTCCTACTCCTCGGACCTGCCGGCCACCAGCGTCATCATCACCTTCCACAACGAAGCCCGGTCGACCCTCCTGCGCACAGTGAAGAGGTAAGCCCCACCTCAGGACCCTCATCTCAGTGGGGTGCCCCCTAAGGTCTTGGAGTGACCTGCTGAGCCCCTGGCTGGGGAGGACATTGAGACCAAGTGCTGTGGCCAGATGAGCACTGGGAGGGGGAGTCCTGCCATCTGAGAAGCTGCAGCTGGTGAATCAGGCTCAGGGAGACCCCACAAGTCCAAATGTTAGTGAAACGCACAGGTCAACACAAGGCCATGTCCCTAGGAAGAAGGCAGAAATGTGGGGGGTCAGGAACCGAGAGGCTGGGATGAACCTGAGGCCTTAGGCGGATGATGGCAGCTCAGTAGGTACCTGTCAGTGATTCAGACAGAGGCACCTGTCAGTGATTCAGGCAGAGGCGCCCCTTCTGTCCTCCTGAGCTCGGCCCTGTGGTCAAGTTTAACTCCTACTCACCCTGTTTCTTTGATGAACTTAGATGAGAATAGGACTCAGAAAGGCATGCCCGGTGGTATTCCAGGGATTGAAGAGGCTCGAGTTTCCTTTCCCAGGGAGTAGAGGAAGACGAGGGAGAAGGGATGGTGGGAGATAAAGAGCCTGGGGGCTTCCTGAGAACACCCCTCCTGAGGCCCAAACGGGCCTGGCCAGCCTTCTAGGCAACAGGGTCAGCCAGGTCGCTGAAAGAGCCTGAGGAACACAGTGCTCCTGAGCCGTGGATCAGGGCCCAAAGGTTTGCAAGCAGCTGCCATGGCCAGCATGCTGGCCCCCAAGCAGGGTGGTGGGGGAGCCCCATGGCAGGGAGGGGTAAATGGAAGGTGGCCCTAAATCTGGGTTTCTATGTCCCCTTCACTGCTCTAGTGTCCTGAACCGAACTCCGGCCAACCTGATCCAGGAGATCATTCTGGTGGATGACTTCAGCTCAGATCGTAAGTGTGCGCATTTTTTGTTGCGCCCCTCCCACCCTCCATCTCCTCAGAGTGCTGAGGCAAGCATTCTCCAGGTTGTCCTGGCCATTATCACAGGCCAGCCTCTGCCCCCAACCGGCATCTTCAGTCTTTTCTAGCTGCTCTCCCTGGTTCTGCTTTTTGTTGCCAAAAGAGGAGAAAGAGTGATGTTGCTTTGATGGGACACCAATGAGATGACATTTTTAAAAATCTGAAACAACATCAGCAGCATGCTTTCTTATTACAGCTGTCACGGGGAGAAGATTGTCCCTTCAATCCAGGTCCACGGATGTTAGACTGGCGATGCGCTGGTGCTCTCTGGCGCCCCTAGGGGTGATGCCATAAGTACAGGCAGTCCTTGGTCTGGCCTGGGCGTGGGGGACCCAGGGCAATCCTTTGGCCACTAGAGGTGACATGCTCCTCCGTGCCTCCCCATCCCCAGCGCCTGTCCTGGGCCTGGTGTGGGCCAACTCCTGGGCAGTTCTAATGATGGCCAAACCTCTTGTGGTCTGATGCCCATGTCTCAATGAGTTTCCTTCTTTCCACCCTTAGCTGAAGACTGTCTCCTCCTGACCAGGATCCCCAAGGTCAAGTGCCTGCGCAATGACCGGCGGGAAGGTAAGGTCTAAGACCCGGGGTGCCGCCACATCCCATTTTGGCCTAAACCTGCACGCCTCCCCACGCCCTTTCGGTGTCATGCCATACACACCTGCTGCGTTCCTGCGGCAAGAAGCGAAGTCTGTAGAAAGACCCTCCTGTTATCCCAGGTCAGCCCCCACCCCAGTGTGACTGTAGGCAAGCTGCCGTGCTGGGACATGAGGATAATACTCGTCCCTTTCTGCCTTGCACAGTTATTGTAAAATGAAATGAGATGGGCCGTATGGAAATGCTTTGGGACCATCAAAGGGCAGCATAAAGCAGATGTGACCACTTCCACCTAAGAGGTGTTTGGGGCATCGATGACAACACAGGGTTATGCTCAGCACTCTAGGGGACACGAAAGTATAAAATGTGGCCCCTGCCCTTGGAGAACTATGAGGTAGCCGGAGGGTCAGAATCCAGCACACCAACAGGCAGGTTTTAATTACGTGGAGGAATGGAGATCGGAAGAGAAGGCTCTGGAGGAGAGTGGAGTGATCGGGGCGTGGGCCTTCACTGCGCGGGTGACGGGGGGCTGTGAGACGGCAGGTCAGGGAGAGCATTCCAGGCTCAGGGACTCTGCACGCAGACACTCTGGTCAGGTGCGGGTACACAGGGACCACTCACAGCCCTCCTCCCAAGCGCGCATCTTGTATAGCTGGCATTCACTTTTTTAGCTTTCTTACACTCAGTCCTTATAATAGATGAGGAGACTTGGGTTTAAGGGGTTCAGAAATTTCCCAGGGTGGGGATGAGGAAAGGAGCCAAGATTCCAACCCAGGGAAGGAGCTTACCCCAGAGCCCTGCCTCCCCACCTCCTTTTCACTCTCCTTTCCCAGGAGAATCGGGCCTGGTCAGCAGGGGGAATGGAAGTAGATGACAGAGGACCTTAAGCCAGAAAAAGACATTTAGACTTAATAAGGCAGACAGTAGGGAGCCACTGAAGGGGTGTGTGTGTGTGTGTGTGTGTGTGTGTGAGAGAGAGAGAGAGAGACAGAGAGGGAGAGAGGTATGTGATGCATGGATTTAACAAAGACCAGCCAGGCTGAGGGGACCTTCTTATTAGAATGGAAAAGGCTGGAGAGAAATCACTAAGTGTGGCAGGTCCTCAAATAATGTGGTTTCACTATAACGTTGACAAGATGCTGTAGGAACTTAACTCTTGCTTCTATTAATTAGCCTATGGTAAAAACTGGCTTTGTTATATGTCATTTCTCTTCAAGTCCCAGAAGCTACCGACGGCGTTGAGTGAGGACTTACTGCGCAGGGTTGCAGGGACCTTTAAGCCTGGAAACATGCTCTTCCCTGGGGTTTTGCCTGCAGATGCACATTTATGCGGTGGATTTAAGGAGGTTTAAATTAGGTGCATTATAACTGCATATTGAGTGAAAAGATGGGACAGATGGACTTGTGGAGAGATGGGTGAATAGTCGGACAGAGGCAAGGTGCTGCGTAGGGCAGTGACCAGGAAAATCTCTCCAAGAAACAACTTGTATTTTAAATTCTTAGAGTGAGGCCCTTCTACCCGCCCCCCTTCCCCAGCTTACAGGGCACCAGTGGCCACTCTGTCAGGGGCAGGGCCAGCTGCGCCTCCTACCTCCTAACCAGGTTATTCCCCAACCCTAACCAGGGAGCCACCAAAAGCAAGGGCATTTTTTGGCTGTGGGTGCACCGTGGGCAAGTCTGGGGGAAAGGGGGCGGGAGCAGAGCAGAGTCCGGTTCACGCAGACCTCCTGGGCACCAGGCACTCCCCTGACAGGCAGGACTGTTCTCTCTCTGACCCTCAACGTAAAAATCTGAGGCTCAGAGAGGTTAAATAACATGCCTAGGGCACAGGGGCTGGCGTGCTAACTCCAGCCTGTCCTGGTCCAGAAGATTCTCTCCATGTCACCCATGATGGTGCAGCCACTGGGGACCGCCCCGAGGTTCCCCCGGGGTCCGGGGAAAGGTTTCTGGTTCTCCTTTGATATTAAACAACACGTTACTGGCCATTTCCATTCACTGAACTCTGGCTGTTCCCAGAGCCCAGAACAGGGTCTGGCACATTGAGGGCATTCTGAGAAGGATCTTGGAGTAATGAGGCCCGGTAGATGGACGAGAGAAAGGGAAGAAGTAAACAAATACAAAGTAAAGTTCAGTCACAGGAACTCAGAGGAAACCTCAGCTCCAGAAGGGGCGGAGAGCCCGAGACTTTGTGGGGATGGCTGGGCAGCAAATCGGCTCAGCACCAACCCATCTCTGTCCCCTGCAGGGCTGATCCGGTCCCGAGTTCGCGGGGCAGATGTGGCCTCAGCGGCCGTCCTCACCTTTCTGGACAGCCACTGTGAAGTGAACACCGAGTGGCTAGAGCCCATGCTGCAGCGGGTGAAGGAGGTGAGTCTGTCTGTCCCTGGAGAGCTTCGTTCTCTCCAGATGTGCCTGCCACGTTCTTGGCATGAGGGCCTAGGAGCTGTCTTTGACGTCGGGTAGGCAGAGTAGGAGCCTCAGTGGTCTGCTACCTCCTGAGCAACTTCACCTCACGGAGCCTTCTCTTCTGAAAGTGGAGATCATTATACTTGTCCCACCAGGTTGCTGTGAGAATTGAATTGCATGAAAGCCTGGGCGAGCTATAAAGCTACTACTATGAATGGGTTGTTTTCCTCCTGGGAGAGGCAGGGTCCTGGGCTGGAGCGGGGTGGGGTGGTTTGGCTCAGGCTGGGAAGCCCGGGGAGGAGGGAGATGGGGAGTGTGTTCTCCAGGAGAGATAGGGCAGGGGAGAGATGAGGCAGAGGCCCGACCATGTGCCTACTGTTCTCCAGAAGGGGGAGGATCGGGACAGATGGAGGAAAGGATGAAGTGGTTACAACTTACTATAGAAAGACAGATGTCCCAATTTAAAAATGAGCACGGGATTCGAACCGGCGTGTCTTCAAGGAAGATACACCGTGGCCAACAAGCACATGAAAAGGTGCTCGGTTTTTGAAGTCAGCGGGGAAGTGCAAGTCCAAACCCTAATGAGACGCCTAATACGATGGCTGTAACCAGAAAGGCGGACAGTAAGAGCACGGACGAGGATGGGGCAAGGAGGAGCCTTCGCCCACGGCAGGTGGGAATGTCAAATGGTGCAGCCCTTTGGGGCCAGTCTGGCAGGTTCTCCGAAGCCTAAGCACAGAGTTAGCCTCTGGCCCAGCACGGCCACTGCGGGGCACATCCTGAGAGAAATGAAAACATACTCCACACGAAAACTTACACACGAGCGTTCAGAAAGGAGTGAGGTACCCACACATACTACAACATGATGAACTTTGAACTTATTCTAGGCAAAAGAAGCCGGCCACTAAAAAACGTGTATTAAATGACTCTGTTTATATGAAATGCCCAGGATGAGCAAATGCACAGAAAGTAGTTTAGTGGTTGCCAGAGGTGGGGGCTGGTGAGGGGGAACGACTGCTAGTGGGTACAGGGTTTGTTCTCGGGTAATGAGAACGTTCTGGAATCAGATGATGGTCGCACAGCCTTGTGACTGTAATAAAAACCACCGCACTGCACACTTTAAATGGTGAATGTAATGGTACATCAGTTATACCTAATAAAATCGCTATAAAAATGTGAATTGTATCTCAGTACAAAACAGTCTGTAAGAAGGACAAGGCGAGGCCCCCACAGAGAGGCCAGGGTGGTCTCCCCTGATCCCTTACCTCCCAGGCTGTGTCATCCTGAGACGGGGTGTAACCCAGGGGCAGAGCCAGATTCCAAGTTGCAGACAAGAGGACATGGAGGGTCAGTGCAGAGTTGGGGAGAGGAGAGTAAGACGAGGCTCCGCCCCAGGCCCCTCCGCAGAGGGCTGATAGAGGCCAGCTGAGTTTCATATGTGGTACAGGACATAATTCACCACCACCACCACCACCCCTCAGTAAAACATCTTTGGTAAAACCGACATTACCCACCAATGTTTCGGAGGTGAATTTGTGTCCTGAAGGTGATGAAGGGGCTAGTGAGCCCGACTTTTCAGTGGCTGTGGCATGAAAGAAGTGACCCCCAGATTACACAAGGGAACAGAGTCCCTGTCCTCAAGCTGCTGGTGGCCTAGGTGGGAAGACCCAACCCAAACACATACAAAGGTGACGACAGTGAATAGAAGAACAGATCAAGCCAGCAACAGAAGGCAGCATATGATTCACTGTCCCAGGAATTGTCTAGATGGTAAGTAATTATGAGAAAACATCTTAAGAGAGGAAGAAATCCTCCGCCTAAAGCAATCAGGGAGAGCTTCACTGAGGAGGTGAGATTCCAGCAGGGCTCAATATGATGTGAGAGGAAGAGGCTGGGAGAGCACTGCACCCGTGGGACCCATGTGGGACCTTCCAGGAACTTGGGTGTGATGATACAGGACAGCTCCCAGGAGCCCGAATGGCCCTGCAGGAAAAGCTGGCTGTGTGGCCTTGTGCCTCAGAGACCTTCCTCCCAGAGCAGGCAGCGGGCCCTTTTTCCTGAGTCCCTGGCCTCATACCATCTCGAATTTTTCTCTCCTAGGACCACACCCGTGTGGTGAGCCCCATCATCGATGTCATCAGTCTGGATAATTTTGCTTACCTTGCTGCATCTGCTGACCTTCGCGGAGGTGGGTCCTGCTACCGAGGGAGGGGCTCTAGATCAGAAAGGAGGCAGGTGAGGGCTGGCAACAGCCCCAGCTTGGGGCTCTTCTTCCCAGTTGTGCCAGAGGCTCTCACAACACCATTACCTCCAGAAAATGGAAAGGGATTGGGTAGAGCCCTGGGGCTGGGGGTCAAGGGTTAGAGCTGGCAGCTGCAGGCTCCTGGCACAATCAGTGGCAGAGCCAAGCTGGTCTTTCCCTCCCCACAAACACTGACATGCCCTCCCAAACATAGCCAGCCCAGGGACCAAGGCCAAGTTCTGGCAGAAGGGTGTGATATGACAACTGTTTTGGGGGTGGAGTGGGGGGACCCTCAACTTTGTGTGAATTCCTAACATGGACCCACTAGAAATGGTCTGAACCTGCTCTACTGATGTGGCAGCCATAGCCACGTTGGGCTGTTATACTCTCGAAATATGACCACTCTGGCCCTGGCTGGTGTGGCTCAGTGGACTGAGCGCAGGCCTGTGAACCAAAGGGTCCTGGTTCGATTCCCAGTCTAGGGCACATGCCTGGGTTGTGGGCCAGCTCCCCAGGGCAGGGTATGCAAGAGGCAAACACACATTGGTGTTTCTCTCCCTTTCTCCTTCCCTTCCCCATTCTCTAAAACTAAATAAAATCTTTGGGGAAAAAAAAGAAAGAAATATGACCGGTCTGAACCGAGACAAGCTGTAGTGTAAAACACACATCAGATTCTGAAGATTCAGTGTGAAAGAATGTGAGATATCTCATTAGTAATTTTTTATATTGATTACAAGTTGAAATGATATTTTTGGGTGTTTCATTTAAAATGTGTTACTTAAATTAATTGTAGGTATTCCTGCTACTTTTTGATGTGGATACTAGAAAGATTTCAATTACATATGTGGCTTGCATTTCTGGCTTGTATTATGTTTCTTTGGGGCTGCTCTGGTCTAGACTTTGGGGCTGTACTGTCTAATACAGTACACAAAAGCCACATTTGGCTATTTAAATTTATATTAATTAAAATTAAATGAAATTGAAAATCCAGTTCCTCCATTACACTGGCCACCTCCGAGGGCTGAGCAGGCGCGTGTGGCTGGTGTCAGCTACGTGGCGCAGTGCGGACGCAGAAATGCCCATCGCCGCAGAGAATGGTGAAGGCTCTGGAGAATCTAAGGCCGGGAGCTCGCGGGCACAGTGGATTTTGTGTTCGGGGTCCAGATTTTCCTTGAGTGGACTTAACCATTCATTAGATCTTGGGGTTGAGCGGCATTCTGAGGGAGCCGGCCATTTCTCCTCTGGGAAGTCACCTTGGGGCCTCTCCACTTCTGTCCCCCTGCCTGGAATTCCCTTTCCCCAGATAGCCGCATGGATCGGTCCTTCATTCAGGTCTCTGTTCAAATGTCGCATCACCAGGGAGCAACTTCCGACTGCCCCGACGAGAATAGCATAGGTGTCTCGCCTTCATTTTCTTTTCTAAGCACGTTTCGCCCCTGAGTGACATAGCACCCCCCGCTGATCCATCTTGCAGTCTCTGCCTCACCCAGTAGACCAAAACCCCATGAGGGCAGAGACCTGTCTCACTCTGCTGAAGGGGTAACTGCACAAATTGCCCAGGCCCCCTGTGAACTGGACTCAGATCAAGGGAGACCCTGACAGGGCAACAGCTGCCAATGAGCTCTGCCCTGAGCCCGCTTCTTACCCTGTTCTGTCCCTTAGGATTCGACTGGAGCCTGCATTTCAAGTGGGAGCAGATCCCTCTCGAGCAGAAGATTGCCCGGACAGACCCTACCAAGCCCATAAGGTCAGGGCTGCTGTGAGACCCATTCTTTCCCCGGGTCTGGGGTGTGGGAAGCTGCCGGGGGCCATTTCAGTCACCAGGGCTTCTGAGGCTGTCCAGTCTAAGTGCTGACTCTGTTCGGGCCCCAGGGACAGAGAGCACAGAGGCCCGGGGGCTGGCCAGACACCTGGCCCCAGTGACTCTGCAGGCAGAGGTCCTGGGGCAAATGGGCTGGGGTGCTGGGGCCATGCAGAGCAGCTTCGTAAGCTCACGTGATGCCTCTCTCCTCTCCTTGCTCCCAGGACGCCAGTCATAGCGGGAGGAATCTTTGTGATTGACAAGTCCTGGTTCAACCACTTGGGGAAGTATGATGCCCAGATGGACATCTGGGGGGGAGAGAATTTTGGTAAGTTGGGAAATATAACAATAGCAACAGCAACATCAATAATGGGTAACTGATCAAGCACTTTCTATGTGTAAGGACCTGTTCTAAGGATTTAATCCTCACAACGATCCCCTGAAGTAAGTACTATCATCTCCATTTTACTGATAAAGAAACTGTGGCACAGAGAGGTTCAGTAGTTTGTCCAAAGCCACACAGCTAGTAAACAAACAGAATTAGGTGCTTAGAGTGGGGCCTGTGGCCACATGGCTACACATATATGTGGGAGAACATACAGGCTGTGTCGTGGACCACAACTTAAACAACTGGTTGCTTCCCTACCAGGTCTGGGAATGTGTTCAGTAGAGGGTACTGGTTAAATGTAAGGGATGGGGTCAGAGGGCCTCGTATAAATCCTGGCCCTCTGATCTCATTGCTTATATTTAACCAGTACCCTGGGGTTGCTAGTTACTGGGTTACTGGGTGGAGATCTTATTACCTACAAGCTCTTTGGCCCTGGGCAAGTTAAAGCCTCCCTAAGCCTCAGTTTCCACAAGAGACGGTTATGAATACTAACTGAGACGATGTGTTAAAATGCATGGCACCATGCCCATGGCCATTATCACGACTGCTGAGGCTGTCAGAACCCTCTAATGCCAGAAGGAAAGGGAAGAGCCAGTGAATTCCCAGGGTTGCTGGTGAGGTTCAGGTTAGATAAAGGCCAGATACGGGTGTCCGATATGGGTAGTTTAAGAGGGCTTATTAAAGGGACTGTTTACATAGAGTGGGTCAAGTGTAGAGGGAGCCAGAGGAACAGCCTTGTATTGGATGAGGCTGGTGACTGCTGGGAGGTGTCACTACCCCTAGGTCTGAAAGATGGGGAGGGAGCGCTGTCCTACAGTAGCTGTGGTCTTGGGGCACCGGCAGGTAGTCCATGGCTCCTGGATGGAGGGCGTGGGGATGGGGCCTTCCATCCCCCCTCTCTGATCTCCCACTGGTGCCTCTACTGGTTGAACCTGTGCCGCACAGGTAGGAAGCCCAGTGGTACAGCCTACCCGGGCAGCCTAGCAGGCAAGGAGCGGGGTGGGAAGGGTACCAGGGCATCCTGCAGGCCCCCAGAAGCGGGCAGGTGCTTGGAAGCCTGTAAATACAGAGGCATGTTCTTGTTTTGACAGTGGATCGGGTCCTCCACTGAGCTCTTTCCCACGGCATCCCTTTTCTTCCTCCCCAAGCTTCTTTAGAAGTAAATAGGGCTGGTGGTATCTCATCCATTTGACAGGTGGGAAAACTGAGGTGGCCGCTGCCTTCCAGATTCTAGCCAAGAAACGCCACGTCTAACGGGTGTGTGGGGCGCCTTGACCAGAGCCACTCAGGTGCTGTGAGGTGTGATCTAAGTGAACCCCAGTGTTTCTGAGACATGAGGAGCAGGCCTTTCTTCTCTCTCCCTGATCAGGAGACAGATGAGCAGTGAGGCTTCGAACAGCCCTGACCCCGCCCCCAAACCGGCTGGAGTGGAGACAGGCATGGGGTTTTCTCCCCCTGTGACTTATCCTCGGAACCCTTTCAAGACAGGCATCTGGAGGAGTAAATCTGGGGATGGGGGTGTGATGACCCTTGCGTTCTGACATCTGTCCATGTGTTTAGGCCTCGTGACCTCCTCTGTGTCCTCGGCCTCAGCCGGAGGGAAGCTTTGGCAAAGCCGGTTTCCTGTGAAGGCTTAGGAGACTGAGAAACTAAGGGTCTCTCTTGCATCCAGAGGCCTTTTCTTACTTCCTTTCTTTTCTTTTCTTTCTTGCTTTTTTTTGTTCACCCAGGCTGGGGACTGACAGGGGAACAAGTGAATGATCAAATGGCTGCACTTCACACTCCACCTGCAGCGAGGGCTCGGTGGTTGGGGGACTGCAAGGCGAACCGCTGAGCGGTTCTGGAGAGGGTCTGTTTCTCAGAAGAAACTCAAAGACCTGTCTGGGCTAGCCACAGCTTTGAGCTGGCAGACTCCTGCCACTGGTGGGTTTGGCCTTTCATTTCTTTTCTTTGTCGAAGGAAGGGAGATGCAGGAAGGGAGATGCGCAAACCGAGACTCATTGCTTTCCCTGCCTCCCCCTCCCCGCCAGCCAAACTCAGGAGCCAGAGGCCACCTGGAGTGGAGGTGGTGCACATGAAAACCTTAGAAGTCACATTTGGGGTCCTTTCCAAACCCAGTCAGATCATGTCACTCCGCTGTTCAAGACCCTGCCAGGGCTCCTGCGTCACCCACAGCAAAACCCGAAGCCCCGGAGTCTGCCCTGCCCCCGCACACTCGCACCTTCAGCTCTGAGCTACCACACTCCACACTTCGCTCAGGCCTCCTGGCCTCCTTGCTGAGCCTTGAACTTGCCAGCCTTGCTCTTGTATCTAGGTCTTTGCCCTTGCTTATCCCGTAATGAAGAGCATTATGCGGGAATGCTCTTCCCCCGAGAGCCACTGACTCAATTCCTTGCCTCTTTTAGCTCAAATGTCCCCTCTCAGTGACAACTTCCCTCATCAGCCTAGTTAAAATTGCAGCCCTCCGCCCCAGTGCCCCCACCCCCTTCCATGCCCTACTGGCCTCATTCTTCTCCACTGTACTTACTATTATCTGGTAGACTACAGACAGGGTCCGGCACAAATAACACCCCTTTTTATTATAATTTTTTTTTTACAAAATCATAAGCATGTAATTCTGTAACATAACAATATCACATGCAAGCACACCATAAGATATTTTAGGTGAAATGTTCAAACTGAAAGCATAAATTATTACACCCACATTAAAATCATATTGTTACCTACCAACCACACTCAAGCAGGCGTTACTTCTGCCGGACCCTGTATTCTACTCATTTTCTCGTCTATTTGTATTTTTGTTTCTTATTTTACTGAGATCTGTCTCACCCCACTAGCATGTAAGGGATTCTAGGTCAGCATGTGACATACAATAAATAAGAATTCAGTTAAATTCTGAATTAACTAAAAAATCCAGTCATACAGTGCAGCTTGCTGGGCAAAGTGTGAACTTCATGTTGCAATTCTGCAACTATTTGGGTTACCTTGAAAAGGTTATTTAACATCTTTGATTTCCACAGTTCTTATTTAAAAATATGGTGGGACACACAATGCAATATATAGATCATGTACTATAGAAATGTACGCTTGAAATCTGTTTGATCTCATTAACTAATGTCACCCCAATAAATTCAATTAAAAAATAAGAAAAGTGGGCATTTAACATGGAGTGGGTGCCAAACTGAGGACCTACTATTTTGACTTTGGGGTTTTGTTTTTGGTTTTATTGACCCTACCTGTCACAAAGGGCTCTTGTCTGTCATTAACTTAATGGGTGAAATAAAACTATCTATGCTTCAAAAATATATATACGGGGATAATAGTACTGACTTCACATGGCTGCTGTGAGATTTAGACATCGGCTATAAAGAGGACGGCACATAGTAAGTGCTCAGTAAATGGATGATGGTTGCTGCCATTGTTAATGGTATTGTTGCTGATAATGAGAACACTTGATAACAGTATGGGCAATACGGGCCGAGTGGGAGAAAGTGACAACCAACATAACAAAGCTACTCAGGCAGAAATGGAACCAGATGCAGATCTCTGTCCCCAGGTCTGTGCCCACTGTCAAATCTCCGTTGCTGAGCCGACTGCAGAGCTCTGGCTGTGAGAAGGGACAGAGGCCTGCCTGTTTGCAGTCAGACTAGGGAAGCCCAGCAATGTAGCCAGCCCTGTGCGCGGGTCCAGATATGCCGAACGTCCAGCCCTGGCCGCCGGACCACACCTGGAAGCCTCCTGGTGCACACAGGGGGCCAGAAGGCAGGCATTGGTTCTGCTGCCTTCACGCCCCACTCTGCTGGCCGCTGGGAGGCCCGGACCCAATGTACCAGGTGAAGGCCCGCAGGCCTGGCCACAGGCCAGGAGTGTCCTTATAGCCAACTGGAGAGTGGGAAGAGAGACCAAGGGACTGAAAAACTCATGACAGGATGCTCTTGCTTAAAAAAAAAAACCATTTAAAAAAAGTGTTATGGGGCTGACTGGTGTGGCTCAGTGGATTGAGCATGAGCTGGAACCAAAGGGTTGCTGGTTTGTATCCCCATCAGGGCACACGACTGGGTTGTGGGCCAGGTCCCCAGTATGAGGTGCTCAAGAGGCAGCCACATGTTGATATTTCTCTTCTTCTCTTTCTCCTTCTCTTCCCCTCTCTCTATGAGTGAATGGATGGAATCTTTTTTTATTTAAAAAAATTTTTTTAAAGATTTTATTTATTTATCTTTAGAGGGGAAAGGAAGGAGAGAGGGACAGAAACATCAATGTATGGTTGCCTTTCATGCATCCCCTGCTGGGAACTGGCCTGCAGGGAACCAGCCTGCAACCCAGGCATGCGCTCTGACTGGGAATTGAACCGTGATTGTCTGGTTTGCAGGCCTGCGCTCAATCCACTGAGCTACACCAGCCAGGGCTTGGAATTTTTTTTTTAAAGAAGGGTTATAGTTATGGGTTTTCTGGGACAGAAAGGAGGTTTTTCAAAGTTACAGGGTGTCCAACTGTAGAGCTGATATGAAAGAAAGTAGGAAACCTGAAGAGGTTACATAAGGTTCTGCCCATTGCCAGGGTGGGTCTTGCAAAGTGACGATTGCTGAGTGGAGGACAGACTGGGTGACTTGTGATGTCCCTCCCATTCCGGGAGGTGGAATGGCCACTTCTTTCATCTCCAACACTGCTGAGGACCACAGTCATCTGCAAAACCTTGTTCAGCTTCACTGCCCCCATCAGAAGGAAGCCTGGCTTGGGAGGGCCAGCAGCAGCTTGTAAATGGGAACCGCCAGGCAAGAGGGAGGTCAGGGCCGGCCTGCTGCAGCAGCCATGGCTTGGTTGGTGGCTGCTTTTCCAACCTCTCAGGAGCCCAGCATGGGCCGCTGAGCAGACGTGTTCTTCCTTAGCTCATGTCTGGATGGTGCTTTCTGGACAGAGGTGGGAAAGGATGCTGCCATTCTATTCTGTTTTTCTTCTACTTGTGGTCTTGGTGTTCCTTCAGAGCTTTCCCTGCTGCTCTTCCAGAGCTTAGAGTGTATGTGGTGTGTGCAAATAGTGTTTGTGTGCAGAATGTATAGAGGGTGTGTGTGTGATGTGTGTGTGTGTATTGGTGGTGTGGGTGGAGGGTATGTGTGTGATATGTGTGGAGGGTGTATGTGTTGGTGGTGTGTGTGTGGAAGGTGTTTGTGTAGAGGGTGTGGGAGGGTGTGTGTTTGTGGTGTATGTGGAGGGTGCGTGTGTTGGTGGTGTTTGTGTGGAAGGCGTTGGTGTGGAGAGTGTGGAGGGTGGGTGTGTGTGAGCAGGCAGAGCACATGCAAACTGTCAGGAGTGGGTGCGCTCATGCAAACAGGCCCAGGAGCTCCGGCCCCCGCATGTGCCTACAGTGCGACACTGAAGGGAAGGGAAGCCAGCTCTTTCCCTTCTTCACTCAGTGGGACTCGCCAAGGGGCTCTTCCTCCCCCTGACGGCTACTGTCTCCCACAGAGCTCTCCTTCAGGGTGTGGATGTGCGGCGGGAGCTTGGAGATCGTGCCCTGCAGCCGAGTGGGCCACGTCTTCCGGAAGCGGCATCCTTACAACTTCCCGGAGGGCAACGCCCTCACCTACATTAGGTAGGTCACAGAACCAAGAGCCCTGAACTTGGAACCAGGACACCAGGGTTCCAGACCCAGCCCTGTCAACTGACTGTGGGCATCCACCCACCTCTCTGGGCCTCAGTGTCCCTGTTGGCCTCTGCCAGGTCTTCCATTAAGGATTCCAAGCACTTTCAGGGGTGTAAGGATGAAGGTGAGGGTGTTGCCACCAGGTTTATCTTGCCTTTACTATCTTTGTCCTTGAGGGACTTGGAAAACTGGCCAAGTGACCAACTGGGAGCCACCCTCCACTCACATGGCATGGACGACTCTGACTTGGTCAGTGTCTGCCCATCCACATCCCCAGCCACAGGCCTTTTAATATATACATTTTCATACATCAGTTTATGGGGAGAGAGGGGGAGAGAGATGTGCATACACCCCAGGGATTTGTGTTTGTGTTTTTATATAAGTGGGACCCTGCTCTATATGTTTTCTGAAGCATACTTTTCTGCCACTCAGCACTAAATTATAGACGTCCTTCCCCGGCAGTGCATGCTAACCGTAGCATCACTGTTCAAGGTTGCCCGGCATTCACTCCATTGTGTGGAAGCAGTTCATTATCCTCCATTGATGGGCATGCAGGCTGTTGCCAGTGCTTCATTAAACAAATATTCTTGTACATGTCCTTATTGCCTACATGCAGGTCTATCGGCGGAACAGACTCCTGGAAGTAGAGCGTCAGAGGGCATATGTACTTACATAGTTGATGGATATTGACAGATTGTTCTCCAAAAAGACTGAACTCATGTATGCCACCCCAATCAGTCTTGTTTTGCATACGCTCCTGAGATTTGCATCACTCCGTGTTCTCTTCAATGCACAGAGCTGATCTTAATCCTACCCCTACCTCTGTTGCTGCTTTGGTGACTTTCTTTTGCTCCTTCCTCTTCTTTTAGGAATACCAAGCGCACTGCAGAAGTTTGGATGGACGAATATAAGCAATATTACTACGAAGCCCGACCCTCAGCCATTGGGAAGGCCTTCGGCAGGTGGGTCCTTCCTCCAGCCCTCTTTGCCTCCCTCCACCCACTTAACACAGCCTTAGCCAGAATATGAAGTGGGCTTGCACGTACTCATGTTCTCCTTAGTAACTGAGCCCCACCTGCTGGGCTCTTGGGGCCCATTCTGTATAGAGTGCAGAGGACCTTGAAGCAGGTGCAACCCCGTGGGGAGAAATAACCAGAGATGGCTCGTTTATGAAAAAGAGTTTCTACTCACAAGCTGCCTGCAGGAAAAGGGACCTCTGTGGGAGGACTGAGGGAGGAACTGTCTGCAGAAAACACTTAGGGTCTTGCTTCCACCCCCAGTTGTTCCCGATCTGTGTGCTGTTGGACTATTTCCCTATCTCTCACTGTTGACACTACAATGTAGTTAAGCATTTCCAAAATTCAGATTGGCTGCAAAGTCAATTTAGTAGGTTGTGACTAGCATTAAAAAAATGATGGGGAATGAGAACACTAGAGATTAGTACAGAACAGAATAGAATATAGCAGTTGATTGCTGTGAAGGGTAGTACTGTTCTTGCGAAACTCTTATTTTAATTGCATGTGTGTGTGTGTCTACCTAAGTGTGTGTCTGGGTAAACTTGACCGCAACGTAGGATGTATTTATCTCTTACTCACGGTTGTGGTCAGGAAAGTTTAAAACCATTATTAGTGATCATCAATGAATCTTCCTCCATTTACTTACATCTATCCCTTAACAAAAAAGGACTTTAACGCTATTTCTTTCAGTGGGGAGCTAAAATTTGCTGTGCACTTATGTCCCTTAATTTATTTGAGTCTCACAAAAACGTCCTGAGGTAGGTGGTTATGTCTTCAGTTTACTGGAGGAGACACTGAGGCTCAGAGAGGAGGCGAGGGCACCTGTCAGGGGCCATTACAGTCAGTGTAGCTGAGGCAGGTGAGGAGACCAAACTGCAGTGTCCGCTGACACATCGAAGGCTCTGATTTGCTAGAACTCCTGAAAGACCTTAAAGCCTCTTCCTCCTGTTGTTCGACTCTGTCTGCTAAACCGCTGTGCACAAAAGGAAAACTTGAGTTCACTGAGTCTCTGTTCTCTGTGGAAATAAGGCCCCGTGCTAGCTGAGGGCTCCAGGGGTAAGGAGAGTGAAATAGGGCCCCCTGCAGGCTGGGCTGTTCCTGAAAGGTGAGCAGGAATTTGAGCAGAGGTGTGGCCAGAAGACCTGGGTGAACTTGAAGGTCTGAGAATGACTCCAGGAGGGCAGGCTGGGACCCAGCCTCCTGGTTCTGGCCTGCTCAGGTGAAGCCTCTGCCCATCCTCCCTGGGGCTTCCTCCCAAACCCACTGGCCAGAGCCTGAATCAGGCCCCTTCTTTCAGTGTGGCCACAAGGATTGAGCAGAGGAAGAAGATGAACTGCAAGTCCTTCCGCTGGTACTTGGAAAACGTCTACCCAGAGCTCACGTGAGTGCAGCCCTTAGCCCGTGCATCTGCCCTGGGAGGGGGCTGGCAGCCTGGGGGACCCCTCACCCCAGGATCTCTCCATCCCAGGAAGCCTGGCTCTTCTTAGCTGTCAGTGTTTATGTTCTTGTGAAAGCTTTGAGGAAAGTGGGAGGATGTTACCAGGAGTTAGCACGATCTGTGGTAGGAACCAAATTTTTAATAGACTGGGATTTTCTTCGTGCCAGAAATAGACGTTGTCCCCTTAGGAAAACAACACTGTACTTTGTAGCAACGGCCACAGAAGTCATCATCCCCTTTGACTCTGTTCTCTCCCTTCTGGGAGTTTGTTCCAAGGAAATGAAGCAACTGAAGCAAAAAACTGTTGACAAACAAGTAGATGTTCACTGTAGGCCCTGCTGCTGGGAGAAAACTGAGAAACCGCCCACAATGGGGTTTCACGTTCTATGCCCATTAATATTGTCATCCTCAAGGCTGTGGAAGAGCATGGGGACATTTGCGGTAGCAAATGCAGAAGTAACCTGCAGATGGCGGTGCATGCGAGCATGTCTGTGTGCTGAATGGGACAGCATGGGACCAGCTATGACGGCTGGGTGGGCAGGAGAGGATTCTTCCTTCTTTTGCAATCCTTTCGAGTGTCTTGGCTACATGCACAGAGCTCATTTACTCACCTTCTTCAGGTCTTTCTCAAACGTGCCCTTCTCAGGGCAGCCTCCTGAACGCTGACTTCTCAGACCACCGTCCCCAGCGTCCCGGCTTTGTGTTTTCCTGTTGCCTTATTATTGTCTAGCACACATCAGCCAGTTAATTTGGGGGCTCTCCCCGTACTTGAGAGTAAGCTCTGTGAGGATGGAAGTGTTCATCTGTGTTGTTCACCATTTTTTCTCCAGCTCCTAGCATAGTGCCTGTCATAAAATGAGCTCTCGATAAATAGTTTTGACTGAATAAATTGCACAGTCAATAAGCCTCAGTAATAACTTTGCAATTAGCATTCTTCCTTCCCTGGCTGTCACTCTGGGGCCAGTTTTCTCCCGCAGATGCTGCCATGACTTTCCAGAACACTCCACCCCTTAGAGCTTGCATGTCTTTGAGCAGCAGATTTGATTTTCGGAAAACATCAGTAGCTACATTATAGCCAAGACCAGGGGATAAACTAGACTGGCCCAGATAACATAACCCTGGGTCTCAACTACAGTATGATAAGACTGAAGCAAGTCACGAAAATAAACTGATGCTGGGAGCAGTTCCTGAGGAATTTCAGAATAGTTCGAGCGTCCTCAGAGGAAAGTTGGCAGCCCGGGGTAACTCCAGGCTCCCTGAAGGGGGAACACTGGTTCATGGGAGTTTAATAAACAGTTTCCTCAAGTGACCACTGCTAAGGGGACGCTTTCACTCCTATGTGTCATCTCTGAGGGAAAAATTCATTTCCTTACATTCTGTCCAAGTTCACACATTTGTGTGGAGCCATAGACTCTAGGGCTTGGGCAGGAGCTGGAAAGCCTGGGGGAGGTGTTAGGAGGTGGGGGACTGAGGATGTGCCCTTCCTGTCTTCCCCAGTCCCCAGGCAGTGTCCTAAGTCATTCCCTGAGGACCAGAAAGTATGTCATAACTGTCAGAAACCTGGATTCATTGATCCCAAGGCAGGAGAGTGGATGAAACCAGCGATGTTAAGTGAGGAACATAAGTCAACTTCCATTTGTTCTGTCACGGTGTGGAAGTTTATTTATTGATTTTTAAAGATTTTAATGTATTTATTTTTAGAGAGAGGGGGAAGGACTCTTCCTGCAACCCAGGTCCATGCCCTGACTGGGGATTGAACCAGCTATCTTTCGATCCATGCAGCAACGCCCAACCCACTGAGCCACACCAGTCAAGGTGGCTGTGTGAAAGTTCACACGCCTCGTTTACATCCAGATGACTCCTCCCCAGTCCACTCATTTGTGATCTGCCTCAGTTCTCAGGGTGAGGGCCAGAGGTTAGAAAGGAGATCAGCAGGCCCAAATGATACCAACTTTCTTCCAAACAGGTGATCCTAATAGCTGGCCCACCCTACTGCTTGAGGCTCTGTGAGAACAGGTTGGTTCTAGGGTTCTGGGGGCTTCCAACCAGCTCTGAGGAAGGAAGACCTGGTTTGGCTGAGATCCTGTGGCATGTCTACATGGAAGGATGCCAGAAGCGTTCTGATGCCCACGCCCCTGCCCAAGTTCTCTTGCTGACCGAGGTAGCAGGAGGCAGAGAAGGATAGGCACATGGCCAGACGCGTTCCCCATCCCCGTGCCGTGGGTCCACAATCCCTGAGTGCGTGTAACCTCCCAAGACCAAGGAGACAAGCCTGCATCTGCTGGGGCCAGCAGCCTCCTTAGGTTACTTGCCCATGGGGTTAGATGCTGTGCCTTACGTCAGCGTGTGTGTTCATGCACATTTTGCTGCGCATACACAGTGATTTCATAGTGATATTTTGACATGCCTGTTTGACTTAACAGCATGTTCTGAACGCTTTCCCATTGGTGGAGTCTTTCACAGTCATGTGTAATGGCTGCAGGGCTTTCCATCCCACGGATGCATCACAGTGCGCTTTGCCCACCCACTGTTGGATATCTAGGAATTTCCAATGATTTCATACCATCAACAACTCTGAGAAGAATATTTTTAGACTAAATCTCTGCACACATCTATAATTATTGCCGTAGGATATTAAGCTCCCTAAAGTGGGATGGTGAGGTCAAAGGTGTGCACATTTTTAAGGCCTTTGCTACCTGGTAATAATAATAACATGTTGCCTTTCAGAAAAGTTAGGCTAATTTATGCTTTCACCATAGGGTATGATGCTAAGTATAGATATTTGTGTGCATACATATAAATATATATTTTTGTATATAAAGTATATATTTTATATGTAAACATATAATAAATATACAGTGTATACATATATAGTAAACAAACAGTGCTAACTCTCTAAGATGTATTTCTCTCATTGTTAGTGAGATTGAACACATTTTCATATTTGTGCATTTTAAATTTGCTTCTTCCAAGTGACCTCTCCCCATCATTCTGAGATTGCTCATTGAGCCCACATCCAGGTGCCAGCCTCTCCCAGGCTCTGCCCTTTCTGTGCTGGGGACTCCTGGGTTTCTGGCCTCAGATCTCTCCCCACCAGAGCCCTCACAGACCCAGCCTCCAGTCTAGTCCCTGGGGCTCCTGGAGCTGCTCAGAACCCACTGGGGCCCAGGCCTGTCTTCCCAGAGAAATCCCTGGTCCCTTTCTCTCTTCTCCCCTGCCTTACTAACTATGCCTGTCCTCCAGTGGTCCTCCTCCCAAGACCTTGGTGCCCAGGGAGCTGACTTGGGCTGCCTTCTGGGTGAGTGTGGGTAAGCCTGAGATGGGCAGAAAACAAGCCTGACCCTGCTTTTCCTCTCAGGGTCCCAGTGAAGGAAGTACTCCCTGGTATCATTAAGCAGGGGGTGAACTGCTTAGAATCCCAAGGCCAGGACACTGCTGGTAACTTCCTGCTCGGAGTGGGGATCTGCAGAGGGTCTGCCAAGAACCCCCCAGCACCCCAGGTAAGTTGCTCAGGTCCCACGTTGGGGTGTGGGTCTTTCCTCTGCTCATCCACCTCCTCTCTCTGCCTACACTCTCCACAAACCCACTTTCCCAGGGACCCTGCCAGCTGTCCCCTCCCCCCTGCTCCTTGGGTCTGCTCCTGTCACATTATCATCTCCTTCCCAGCCTGTGACACAGCTGCCCTCTCTGCACCACCTGCTTTCTGCTTAATGAGGGAGAGATGCTACCCAAACAGCACCCAGCTCTCTCTTGGGTTGCAGCTGTGGTCAGCTGATATGATGGGCACAGGGCATCCAGGACTCTTGTATGTGCATGAGTGTGCAAAACATGAATGTCAACGTACCATATCAAGACTGGAGCCAGTCATGGAGCCCCCGGCATGAGCAGATTTCCTGCCTGCCCTGGTCCACATCCTGTCTTTCACCCCCACCTCGGTACATTCTCCATTGCCCTCTATCCAGCTCCAGCTAAGCTCCCCCAATATTTTATTATGAAAATTTTCAAATATATAGAAAAGTTGAAAGAATTGTACAGTGAGTACCCATGCACCCACCCCTATTAGTAGAAAATTTTACCAAAATACACAGTGTATTTGCCTTATCACCTATCCACCCATCTGTCCATCCATTGCTGTGCTTTTGGACTTAGGCTCTCTGGTTCCTGCCCTGCAGGCATGGCTGTTCAGTGACCATCTCATCCAGCAGCAGGGGAAGTGCCTGACCGCCACCTCCACTTCTGTCTCCCCTGGGTCCCCAGTCGCACTACAGGCGTGTAACCCGAGAGAAGGCAGGCAGGTAAGCCTCCTTGTCCCTGGGCTCAGGATGGCCAGTAGCCCCAGGAGGACGCAGAGCGGGGATGGCAGCCGCTGGCAGGGGAGCTGCAGGCTGAGTGATTACAGACTCAAGCCCTACAGAATGAGGAGCTCTGCAGGCCCAAGTCATTATCAAGGTCAAGTGTATGGTTTTACTCATGAGGAAGTCCTTCAGGTAAATATCTGTTAAATGTCCATCCTGCCCACCTGTGAGGTGAATGAGGGCAGCAACTATTTGTCTTGTCAACGCTGTCCCTAGCCTGTGACAACCACCACTGCCCAAATGAGCGTTAGTTTCACTGAGAGCCCATACTAGGACTTTTACATGGGTCATCTCATGTACTCCTCCCAGCAACCCTGTGACACAGGCTCTAGTACTAGCCCCATTTGGTAGGTCCTAAGACCAAGGCTCCCTCAATTTAAGAAATGTATGTTAGACCACACAGCTGGGATGGGGTGGCACTGGGATTAAAACCCAGGTAAGTGTGATACCAGACCCACAGTCTTATCCCAGCACATAGTAGATGCTGGGATAAGTATTTCTTGGCTGCTGGCTGGCTGGGAAACTGAAATCCAGATACAGTGACTTCCAAGCTGTCATGCCAGCCTTACGTGACCACTGTCTTTTCCATTTGTCAAACACACTCTTTTTCCCTGTCTCCACTAATCTGGGGAGACAGGTCAGGCCCACTTGTTGAGGAAGAAGCTGATGGTCCTAGCAATGAAGTTACCTGCTTAGGGGACGTAGCATCCAGGGACAGAGTCAGCGTGGCTCCCTCGTCTGTCACTCCCTATGTGACTGGGGATGCCACGCCTCTGCTTGGGAACTGGGGCACAGAGGCCAGAGGTCTGCTCCAGCTCTTCCTCTGCCTCCCCGTCCTGGGTAGCTGTCCCTGTGTCTGACTCTTCCCAGCCTGTGGGGCAGTACAAGGGGCGAGGGGCTGGCTGCCTGGCTGTCTGACTCAGCCTGCAGGGTTCTCCTCCCACCCTGTTCTGTTTGGCTGGATCCGCTCTTTAGGGATGACTGGCCCCTCTCAGACTGGAGGGGTGCAACTGGTTCTCTTCCCCTCCAAGGCTGCTTGTCCCTTACCCTGAAGTGAGCGGGTCCTGAAACCCCCTTCCTGGAGCACCTCCTGGGAAGGGCTCTCTGAATGTCAAGTCTTAAGCCCATTCCCACTCCCTCATTGTCTTTTTTTTTTTAATTGATTTTTAGAGAGAGAGAGAAAAACCTCTATTTGTTGTTCCACTTATTCATGCATTCATTGGTTGCCTCCTGTATGTGCCCTGACTGCGGATTGAACCCACAACCTTGGCATACTGGGAGGATGCTCCAATCAACTGAGCTACCCAGCCAGGGCCTCCCTCCTTGTTGAGGCTGGAGCTGGGAAATAGCTCCCGGGGCAGCCACTATGCAAATACTTACCTGGGGCTAAAGCATCTGCTTTCCCCTTGGCTGACTTAGCCTTGTCTCCACTCATTCTGCTCCTGCAAGCTCTGCCAGGCTCCCAATAGCACCCTGGGCAGCTGGGCCCCTCCCCCAGGAGGACAGGATGAGTCTCTTCTACTGCCAACACCGTCTCCAACCTTGGCCTTCCTTCTTGGTTCCCTTTGTTTCCATGTCCCAGGTCACCTGGGGTTCCGATATCCAAGAGGTCCCCTGTGCATTTGAGCCGGTGTGTTGGAATCAGCAAGTCCCAGCTCGGTCACCCCCTTGCCTCTCTAAACCTCAGTATTTTCATTATAAAATGAGTGCCTTTCTCCCCTGCCTGCCTCACAAGGAGTCCACAAGAACCAAGACTATGGAAGTGGGACAGTCCTGTGAGGGGACTCTGTTTCTTTGGCCAGGCCCAGAACAGAGTGCCGGGGATTCTGGGAGGCCCTGAGACTGTGCCTAATGGTACTGGTAGGAAGTGAGAATCCCGTGATTGGGGGAGCACCTCCTAATGATTGGGTCATTCATTCACTCATCTGTGCATTCATCCTTCAAGAAACAAAACTGCATTGGGTGCCTACTCGTGCCCGGGAATGCGTAAATCATGTTGGCCACAGGGATGAAAGGGCAGGATCCAGAAAGGCTCAGCTGGGGAGAGCATGGCCAGCCCTTCCCAGTAGGTCAGACTAGAAAACCACAGGCAATGGCATGCTGTGAGTTTCAGAGGGACTAAAGGCCCTGTCCCACCTACTACCCCTGACCTTCAGGCCAGAGATCCCCCCTGTGCTGGGGCCACATGGACCGAGGGGCTGGTTCTCAACCCCAAGCCTCACAGCACTGTGTTCCCAAGGGGGATCCAGACTCTGATACCCCGTCCTCCACCCTGTGTGCACATCCCAGGTTGGTTCCCTTTTCTGCCCACCCCATGGCCCCCTGCAGCCCTGGACCTGAAGCTGCATGTGGCTCACCTCCCTTCTCCTAGCTGCTCCAAAAAAACATGGTCTCTACCCCTCTGAGCCCTCTGGGCTCCAGCCACATGGTCATGAGCACTGTCCCACTCCTTAGGGAAGACGAGGTGGATATAAGAAGAGGGGAGGCGGATGCATGGGAGGGAAATAGGAAAGAAGCCAAAAGTAGACTAAGCATCCAAACCACACTCTATCCTCTATCCAGGTATTCTTAAAATGTTCTACTGAAACAACTCTCCTTCCCCTTGTTAAGCCCGGGGAACCAGGACATGAAGGCACTGACCTGGGCACCCCTTCACGACTGCTATAGGGGACGCAAGCACCCCCACCAGCCCGCTGGCCTCATTCTTCCTCTCTGTTGAGATGGCGGCCAGTTCCCACTAAGGGGTGTAGGTAACCAGCTGTACAGCAATAGGCCAGGGACGCAGCTTCCAGCTGCAGGAAGAACCCTTGTCTGAAGGGGTCAAAGATTTACCTGTCCCGAAACCCAAACTCAAGTGTCTCCAGGAAGCTGGTGGGGAAGCCCAGGTGGGACTCAGGTGAACTGAGGTAAGGGTCCATTTACAGCAGAGAGCAGCCCCTTGGCCCCAACCAGCTGATACCACAAAAGATACCGAGCCATGTCTGAATGGAAGCTGGAAACACAGATTTTTATGTGGCGACTAAGCCATATTTTAAGTTAACACCGTGCAGGCCAAATGCATCTCTGCGATCTAGACAGTAACTTCAGGCCAAACTACAGAATGGGAGAGCATCAGGAGGCCGGGGCCTAGAGCTCGTGTCCTGGGTGGTGGAGCAGGGCTTTTATGTAGGGGACACACAGACTGTTTAAATGGGGGCAGGCGGGGGCGTCCCAGGTATATGCAGGGCCGCTTACACACATGTGCAATGAAGATGTGAGCATTATGATTTTTAATCACAGTCTCCTCGTTCACTTCCTCCCTGCTTCTCCCCGCAGAGATGGAAACGAAAAGCCTCCTTCATCCAGCATTCAGTCAGTGGCCTCTGCCTGGAGGCCAAGCCTGCCCAGCTCCTGACCAGCAAGTGCCAGGCTGACGCCCCTGCCCAGCAGTGGCAGTTGCTGCCGCACACATGACAGTGGCCCTGGGGCCTCAGCTACCTTTTGCATGAGACTTTGGGACTGGAAGGGGGATGGGGTGGGGGAGTGTAAAGCGGGCCGTTTCCATCTCCTCACATTTCTGCCGGAACCATCAGCAAACACCCGTGCCGTGAGACACCATTCTCCGAAGCTTGTACTGATGAATACTCCAAAGCATTCTCCTGATGCCCTGGCTGCCGACCCGCCCTCACCCCGGGAGAGAAGGCCAGGATGCTGGCCTGCTGCTGGGCAGAGACTGGGCAAGTGCCCTCGCCCTTGGTCCCCTCCCTTTTGCCTCCTGGGGACCCTTCCCTTGTTGTTTGGGGTGAACACGGACAGAAGCCCACACAGGGTCCCCACTGTGTCACAGGGTCTGGGATCACGCAGGAGGAAAGAACACAGGCGGCACAGATGGGAGAGCCTGAGGCTGGGAGGAGAGGGGCAGCCTTTGGGGTGGACAGAGAACCAGAAGGGGGTGAGAAGCTCGGTGGCCTGTCTCAGGCAGGTCTGAGGTTGGGTGTGGGTGTGGGAGGGATGGGATCCGGGGGGAAGGATGGATGATTTGTAGAAGGACATGGACGGAAAAGCAGCACATCACCCAAAGAGCGGGTCTCTTCCCAGGGACCTGATCCCCATGCCACACCAGCCCTGGGGCTCTGTGCCTCTAGTCCTATGCTCTGGCCTTCTTAGCAAGAGGCTACAGGGCGATCTTCAGGAGCAGCCTTGGGATACAGTTTACTAAACGGACCCCACTTCTGTTCGGCCACGTGTCAGGAAGAAACCTCTCTCTCAGGCCTTAATGACCTGCAGGCGCCCTGCCCCCCCTGCCTGGACCCACCATGAGGACATCATAAGGACAGGTGGCTACCACGCACCAGTCAGCTGCCCCGTCCTCATTTGTGGTTTTTGACAACTGCTTTCTCAAAAGCTGTTGCCTCTGTAAATACTGCATTGTGGAACCGGGTGGCGGGTAAGAACAGGCCCTCCTTTCTGGAGTATTGACATTCCCTCAGTCACTGGGAGTAATTCATCCTGGCTAAGCCTCATCCTTACCCCTCCCTGCTATGGGAGGGAGGCCTCAGGGGTCAGTCAGTGCAGTAGGAGGGAGGATGGCCGGTGGCTCCCGATTATGTAGAGACGTCCCAGTTACTTCTCATAGCCACTGGGCCTTTGCCCCACCCCATGGCCTGGTCTCGGAACCACTTCTGTTGTTCCCCATGTTCCTCTTCTCCCACCACCCTGGCTCAGGCAGTGTGATCTCGGGCAAAAGACTGCTGGTACCAAGACCCCTAGGTGGTCCCCCTCCCAAAGAAAACTAGCCTGAGATCCCTTGGAAGTTTATGGATTCCAGAGGGCCTAGGAATCTCCTGAAATTGTCCCTGCAAATAGTGCATGAGTATGCATATATGCATTTTCCTGGAGAGAGGGTCCGCGGACTTCCCCTGCTGCCTGCAGAGGTCCTTGAGCCCCAAAGGGTCTGAACCCCTGCTCTGGATTGGGGCTACCACCCACCTGAGCTGCCACGCCTCATCTCCCTCCCTGGTGTGCCTAAACTGCTGTCGCCTGCTCCCTCCACGAAGCCCTTGGGCCCAGGAGCCAAGGGTCCCGGGTCCACAGCACCCCACCTGGAGGGTCCTCAGAGGTGCCCTCTCACCTCCCGGCTCTCACTGGTGTCCTCTTGGCAGTGCCCCTGTGTCCCGGCGTGCACCCTGCGGGCTCACTGGCACAGGGGCCACACTTCTGTCCTCTTGCGATGTTTCATCTACTGCCATCTCCGTGGTACGTGTCCACCCTGGTACGCAGTGTGGACTTTAGGGATGAGGAGCAGGGGCTTCCCTTGAATGTAAAAGGGCTGCTGCTCAGACAGCCTCAGAGAGGCCCCGCCTTCCCTGCGGTCAGCCCAGGCGCAGCCCTTGTCAGCCATCGTCCATGGGACTCAGCCCTATTCTGTTTTTGCTTTTCCTCTTCTTGACCAAAGCATGTGTTACTAGCTGTCCTCGAGGACCTCATCTTTATGAAACACACACCTGGAATAAAACCACTTCTCACACATACACTGCACCAGCACCTTCCTTTCCGACTCCAGAATCAAGCCCTTCAGTGCCACCCTCCTGGCCTCACAGGGAAGTTGGGGCCTCTATTCTGTAAAAGTGAAACTGAACACGCTCACGTCGAACCCCCTCCTGCACCTGAGAGCTTGCTCTTTGACCTACGTGCCCCATGGCACCCCAGGGATCCCTGGATGACAGGCTGGCTATGCTGGGGGAAGCCAGCAGGTGGCCCTGCCACTGAGGCTGGCTGTGACCAGAGCCCAGGCTTCTGTGACCTCGCTGAGGGACGCTACTTGGGGCTTCAAAATGGAAACCAAGGGGCTTCTCCAAATGTTCGCCTTTGTCGATGCTCTCCTTCCCTGGCCCCGCTGAACTGCCCTTCGCCTCCACCACGCAAGAAGGCGGTGGTAAAATGCAAGTGGGACCACCTTCCTGGGTAGAAACAGGAAAGTAATTGTAGAAAGAGTCCCGGCAGCCTAGCTTTGTTTGATGGGGTAGCAGATGCTCTGCCTAGTGTATCCATGGAAACCAATGGAAAGCCCCTCTGTTTCTGTGATCAGAAGCTGAATCTACCCAGGTAGAAATAAACACTTCGGTGCACTTAGGAACTATAGTGGGCAGGCCAGTGCAAGGTTAAACCTCTCCTGAATGCAGACATTTCTGTCCCTGTCCCCACCTTGTCTCAGGGCTGCTCATCTGGATTCCCCAGCACTCAGGACGCCAGGCTGCAGGGGTCTCGAGCAAAGTGCTGGTGGGTGATGGTTCCAAGCATGCAGCAGAGCCCAGCTTGGGTCAAGCTGAGCAAAGGTGGCAATTTACTGCCAGACGCGTTGAAGCAGTCCCTATGTATGCATCCGTCTGTCCTCTCGAGGAGCGCAGACCACCGCCCACCGCCGTCTTGGGCCCCCACCTGGCTAGGCTGGGCCATTTGTCCACTTTTCCTCTATTTTCCCTCCCACCTCGAAGGGCTCTGGTGCTGCTTCTGAGGCATGCACTTGCCCTCCAGACCTGCCTCTCCAAGGCCCATTTTCTCTCCCCCTCACACCCTGCCTTTCTTCCCCTGCAAACTAAGGCTGTTAGCCTTTGGCCAGCTCCTGGAGGAATCAGCAAATAGCCTTGGGCTGGCCAGTAACAACGGGCCTATGTAACCCAGCTGAAGAGCAAGCCTCCCAGAGCGCCCTGGGGTGGGGAGGACGGGAGAGACACTGCATGGGGCCAGCCTCCCATTTGACCGGCAGTGAGGGCTTGCTCCATCCCTGGGCCACTGTGACTTTCACAAAGGCTCTTCCCCCAGCCCCTCAGATTCCTCCTTTGCAGTCGGGAGAAATAACCCTGGCAGCAGAACCATGCCTCTGAGGGATCTGCCCCCGTAGGCCTGTGGAGTGTCTTCTAGCACCAAGTGGGGTGTGGCCTTCTCCCCCCAGGTGAAGGGGAAAAGAAACCTGGAAGGGAAAGGCTGGTCTTCGTAATGTCCTCAGCTTTATTCCCAACAATGTTCTCAACATTTGGTATTTCTGTGTATTCCCCGTGATGCTCTGAGGCAGTTTGCTGCAGGAGGGAGGGGATCCAGGCAGCTTCTCTCCTCTGAAGAGGTCTTCACTGCCAGGCACTTAGCACAGACTTCGAGGCAGAAGAGGGAGGGGCCTTCTTCCCTCCCAGGCCAGGGCGGCCCAGGGAGGTCGAGGCCCAGAGCCACCTGAGGACAGTCCTCTGCTGTGGAATTCAACCCTGTGGAGTTCGGGAAGAGGGTCTTAGGAGTATGGACTCCAGAGACCTCATCAATGGGGATGGATCTATCCCACTCTGCCACTTATTAACTCCAAGGCCTTAAATAAGTTATTTCCTCTCTTAGCCTTGGTTTCCTCACCTGTAAGAAGGGGTACTCACAGCCTGAGAGGGGTTTTCTGTGGACGGATTTATCAATGACTGCAAAGCATCCGACCCTTTCTCAAGGCTTAGTAAGCAAGTGTCATCGCTATTGTTAATAAATGTTTTCTGAGGGCCTGTTCTATACTCTGCACTTCGCTGGGGCGATGACACAAATGTAAACAAGACAGAAACTGTCCTTGCCCTTAGAACTAACATTCCAGCAGGGGAGATGGACCAATGAGCCAGCAGCCATAATGCCACTAGATAGAAGCCACAGGAAGGCGGAAGCTAGGGGAGCAGCAAGGTGGGGTCCCCCTATAGCCTGGGGGCTATGTGACCCCCTGGCTGGGTGAAGGGTGGGCAGGGTGAGGACTGGTGAAGTCAAATGGTCCTAGTAGCCCAGCTGGCAGCTCAGAGGGCCGGTGCTGAGTGGCCCAGGCTTTCCACTCCAGTGCCCACCACGTCATGGTGATATAGACCAATTGTCATCTTGCTCTGGGAGTCGTTCAAACCTAGACAGACGTGCCTTTTGCTTCTTGAGCCAGTGACCACTCCTCCATGGCCCAGTTTTCTTTGTGGAGAACGAGAGCCAGGGTGGGGCCACATGGCCTGGAAAACTGAGTGATTCTGTCTAGAGGGAATGAATACAAATGACCAGAGGTGTTCCAGAATTTGTTTCCTCCTTCCTCCCTGGCTCAAGTATCCCTGACCCTCTCAAACTACTTGGAAACTAGGCTTGTCTTTCAAGTAAGTGTTTCTCAGGGTGCATAACCTGTTGGAATCACTTGACGTGCTCATTAACACCTGAGTGCCTGGGCAGCTGCTACCTCCAAACTTCCAAATGTGTGAGGAGTGGCCTGGGTGATTCTGATGTGCACTGAGCCTGCATCCTCCTGGAGCCAGAGGGAAAGGAGGCCATGCAGGGCACAGAGTCAGGATGGGCCCAGGCTCCAGATTGCATGCAGGGCACTTGACCTCACTGCAACCTCATTGCAACCTCACTGTGGGAAGGAGAAGCCAAGGGAAAGGAAGGCCACCCCCATGCTCCTCATTACACTTATCCTGGGAGCCAGATGACTGCGGGGACCAGATCTAGGAGACAGAGGTCTGAGCCGGAACCAGTGCCTGAGAAGAACAGTGATGGAGAAATTTCTCCAGCTGGACAGGAACCCAGGGCTGGCGGGAGTTCTTGCTTCTGGGTCCAGAACCAGAGGGTGGCTGCTTAGAGCCTCCCTAACAGGGCCTCCAGGTTTGAGGCAGCTCCCAGCCCAGCCAGTGGCTTGCTGAAGCCTGGTGGCCCACAGGCCGCGCAGACCTCTCTGGCAGCTGCAGAGCTCCAGGTTTCTCTGTTCATGAGGGCAAGAGGGCTGCCCTTCCTGGGATGACACTGATCTCCAGGGCCCTGTTCTCCATGTCAGTGGGAGTGTGGGGGTTGTTAAGGTTGTTAAGGTCACAGGAAGTGGAGGAGCAGCAGGTAGGCCAGCAGAGCGGCATGAGTGTGTGTGAATTCCCCCCTGCGCTCGCACCCTGCAGACCTTCCCTTCATTTCGATGGAAGCTGGGAAGGTGAGCAGGCTCTGGGCAGTGAGTGGGGGTCCTCAGGGATGCCCTCATGCATCATGGAGACCCTTAAGTTCATTACCGTGAACACCATCAAGCCCACTGCGATGTGCTGAGTGCCCACTACACAGAGACATGGAATGGGCTCGGAGGAGCCCTGTTAGCCGCTCATGGTCAGGACTGCCCGGCACCCAAAGCAGACAGCCAGGCCGGCCTCCGTTCTTCACCTACAGTCCAGCCAAACTGACCTGCGTCCTGCTTCTGGAAGTTGTTTTCTGCCTTCTCTTGTTTGTGTTTTTGTTGTTCCTTCTGCCCTCTACCATGTCATCTCCACGGGCCATATACTACCCATTCGTTCAGACAAATGCTGCTTCCATAAGGGAACCTTCCCTGATCACCTGTGTGAAAGCAGCTCTCTCGATTATTTCTTCGTCATCAGCGTTCCTCTCCAGGAGGAATCAGCACACCTCTCCAGCTGTGGTGAGTCCCTTCCTTCGCAGGCAGCGATGTGGACTTGTCCTCTCTAGTCCTTCTTCTCTTTTCTGTTTCCTGTCTGACCTCAGCTCCTTGCTAGCGCCACCTATGTTTGCTCCAGCTTCATGCCTCCCACAGCCACAGCACAGAACCTGGTTCTCAAGACTCCCACTAAGTGCTGGCTTGCCAAATAAGTGAAATAAAAGATTCTAGCTGGGATTGTGTGTGTGTGTGTGTGTGTGTGTGTGTGTGAGAGAGAGAGAGAGAGAGAGAGAGAGAGAGAGAGAGTTAAAGCATTTGGTAGTCAGTGCATTGCATGCAGAAAGCATTCAGTTTATATTTGTTTGTTTTTCCTTTTATTTGTCTTTAAAAGCTTGGTATCTTCACAGCTCCACCCTTCCTCCTTATGTGTGGTCTCTGAGCAACAGTGCATTGGTGATGCTAAGGGCCGGCGTGGATTGAGCATTTCCTGGGTGCCCAGCACTGGGTACCATGTGCATTCTCACAGGCCAGCAGCATCAGTATCACCTGGGAACTTAGTAGAAATGCACACTCTTAGGCTCCACCCACACCAGTTGAATTAGAAACTGGAATTTCGGCTCAGCCCTCTGCATTTACAAATGAAAAAATGCCCCAGAGTTTCTGATGCACACTGGAATTTGAAAGCCTCTGGTTTGGTGGCTGAGATGGGTCCTGGTGTCCTGACTGGAAAGCATAGCTGACGCAGAGCAGACGCTGTGTGCTGCAGGCCACGCCTCCGCTAAGCAGGCTGCCTCCACTCCGATGCAGGGGCTGCGACGCTGTGACGGATCTCTCTGGGTGGAGGACGGCAGGCATGAGGCTGGGCCAAGGTTCCCCACTGAGCCAGATGCCTCATGCCAACCTTGCTTTGTGTGATTTATGAGTTTCTTCCCAACACCAGCCATATACCGCTGATTTCATTATAGAAAAGCTTCCGCGCCAGAAGAGTCATTAATCAAGGGATCATTGCTACTTCGCCGCCCTCTGAATGGGCACACGAAACCGTGGGTTCCATGGCCACGTCCTTCCTCTGCATCACCCAACTGAGGACATTCATAGCCAGTACGATCCCTTGTGTAC